CTAATGGGAAGTCTCTGACCAACCTTCCCAGCCTAAACCAACAGAGAAGGGAGAAGTTTTAATCTGTTAGATCAATATAAAGAGGAAACTATAATGAGACAACCACACCTTCATAAGACTTTCTTACCTCTGTGTATTGGGACAAACTACCTTTGGTTTGGGTTATACCTTCATTCTCTGAATAGAAGGAATGCTCTCATGCAAAGCCATACATTCCATTTTTATTGTAGGTATAACAGTCATATCAGGATTCCTGTTCTATGGGCTCTGATGCACACTTGGTGCACTCTCAACAAGTACCAACAACTCTTTTCCTCCCTGGCTGCTTGAAGATCAACTACCATTATGAACAACACAATAACTATCCTTGGATTAGGAAGTTTATGACCAACAGACTACTCCAGTGGAAACAAATGGTCCTTGACATCCTTCACCCTAGGAAAGCAACAGTACCTAAAACCGAAAATTTGGAAAAAAAACTATCCAAAATATGTAAGACCATAGCAGATATTATCTTTGTATTTAGATTCAGAACCCACTTTGGTGGCAAGGCCACTGGCTTTGGCACGATTTATGATTTCAAAGAAAAATGAACCCAAACATACACTTGCAAGATATGGCCTATATGACAAGACAATGACCTCAAGGAAAGAACAAAAGGAACATAAGAACAGACTGAATAAAGACAAGGGGACCACAAAGGCCAATGTTGGTGCTGGCACAAAGTGAGCTGGAGATTGGATACAATCTAACAAGGAGTAAAGATTCTTCAGTGACTTTATCGGCAGTGATTGTGCCAATTTTTCATGAGAGCATTAATAAAGAACTTACCCACCCTCAAAAAAAGCCACATACCAAATGGCCCACCATCTACCATTTCCTCCAGTCCCAGTCATTATAAGCTGGTTGTAGTAGACAGGGAGCATTACTAGATAAGCACTGAATGTCTCACTCCTCTTTATCTTTCTCTCAAATTCCCTTATTTACCTCCATTCAGTTCATCAAGTACTGTTTGCCCAAGTAGTCTGACATCAACTGGTTGCCACTTGTACTGGCCCCAACCGGGGTCCAAGCCTGCAACATAGACAGGTGTTCTGACTGGAAATCAAACCAGATAACACCTAATTGAGCCAACACTGGTCAGAGCAGGTTTGCCCAAGTTCTTGATAGAGGTCTATGTCCTAATTTCTAGCATTTATAAGGAATTTTTACTTATTTTATATTATTTTTGCCATTTTATTGGGAACCTAGAAAATTTAATTAAATTAATAAGGTTTGGAGACCTAGTGTATGAATTCAATCACAAGCCTATGGAAAACTCCCCAATGAATTAAAAATAATAATGAGGTAGGTATAGCATATAAGAAATGTGTCACCCTGACCAGGTGGCTCAGTTGGTTGGAACACTGTCATGTACACAAAAAGGTTAAATGAGGTTCAATCCCCAGTCAGGACATGTACCTAGATTACAGGTTCGATCCCTGTTGGGTGCATGTACAGGAGGCAACGGATCAGTATTTCTCACACAATGATGTTTCTCTCTCTCCACCTTCATCCCTCCCTCCCCCCCTCTCTAAAATCAATAAACATATCTTCAGGTGAAGAGTTTTTAAAAATGCATGTTCTTCTTGTGTTGAGGTAAAGAAAAACTGTCAGAAACCAAGGGGGTAAACAAGCAGACTTTTAAAAGCCAGTAAATGGAATATCTGGCTCTAAGAATAAAGTTTCCTCTTGGAATAAGTCAGAGGAAAAACTGTAGTCAGTGGCTAAGATTTAAAAATTTCTATTTGGCCTTGGCTAGTGTGGCTCTGTGGACTGAGCACCAGCCTGCAAACCAAAGGGTCACTGGTTGGTTCCTAGTCAGGGCACATGCCTGGGTTGTGGGTTAGGTCTCCAGTAAGGGGCATGGGAGAGACAACCACAAACTGATGTTTCTTTCCCTCTCTAAAAATAAATAAATCTTTAAAAAAAATTTCTACTTGGACAGCTTAGGTTTTAGGAGATAAGAAATTCATGGAAGAACAAAAAAAAAAAAGCTTAATTAAGGGCTAGGTGTTTTGGTCTTATTGTGAAGACAAATAAGTCCAGGTAGTATGACATCAGAGAGCCCACACTCTTCACCAGACAGGTTTTAAGGCCTGCCTTAAGCCAGATCTTTTGCTACGAATGATACCAAGCTGATGACCCTATGCAGCAAGTACAGTATTGTTCCCATTTTTCAAAAGCAGAAAACAGACACAGAAATTGCCCAAGATGACAACGGAGTGGGTAGCAAAAATAGTTTACTCACAGTTAAAATGTGGGGGTGGAGGGTGGACACAAAAGGAATAATTAACTCAAATCTAACAAAGAATATTAGTCAATTGATCACTCAGTCTGGTCCAGGGACCAGCACTACAGGCATCACCTCAAAGCATATTAGAAATGCAGATTCTCAGTCTCCACCTCAGAGCTACTGCATTTTAACAACATTCCGCGGGTACATGGTGGAGGAGAACACAGTCTTAAGCTGGTATGAATCTGTATGAAAGATGGGCAGAAAGAAATCACTTGGGGAAACAAGCGTTTATACCAGCAATATAAAAGTTTAAAAATTTTCAAAAGATGACATTGAGATTGCTATTGGATTACCAAAGGTCAGTCAAAAACCTGGAGAATTCATGAAGTTTATTAAATACAAGATTTTAGGGGAATGTACACAATGGACTACATGTTACATGTTCCTGGGTCTGTTAAGGGCACAGGCCTGAGAAGCATAAGCAGCAACAGCTCAGTTCAGAAAATTCTCCAGGTAAAGCTAAAAGTGGAACAAAAAGGTGAAGTCTGTCCTATGAGGCAGGAGTTAAAGGCTCCAGAAAATGCTGAGTAGGAAGAAGCCACAGCAACAAAATGGCAGAAATGACAGAGATTTAAATGTACACATATGCAACAAAAACGAGAAGCAGCAGGCTTTAGAATTTGAGCAGGAGATAGAATGGGTACAAAAACCATAAACTCCCCCTTGAAGGAATGATTATATTGATAACTGAATGGATATACTGCTCACAAAAAATAAAAATAAAGAATATACCCCTTGAGAATGTTAATATTTCACACATTTAAAATGGAAGTCAAATACTGTCTCTCATCTACCCTATAGACACTTTGTTTGTTCCCACTGTCAAAGCTCAGCCGCCATCCCCATGAGGGACTCCCTGACGACCCATTTGAAGCTGAAATTTTCTCCCCAATACTACTATGCTAGCACTCCTTACCTCCCCACCTGCTCCATTTTTCTCCAAGTCATTTGACTCATTCTAAAATACTCTTAATTTACAAGTTTGGTTTATTGTCTTTCTGTTTCCACATTAGAACCAAACTCCATAATAACAAGGGTTCTGTTTTTGCTTACTACTATTTGTCCCAGAGCTCAGTACCTAGCATATAGTGGGAACACAATAAATATCTGGTGACTAAAAGCTGAAGAATGGATTGCCAAGAACACAAGCTTCAAAGGAAAAAAATGAGTGGAAAATTAGTAAGATTTAAATACTTGACTATAGGCTCAAGCTCCATGATGACAGGTATTTTTACCTCTTTTGCTGAATGTAGGAACAGGTAAAGTAAAATGTTTAATATAACATTCCTAATTTCACTGATTCTAACATGCACTTTAAAATATTTGTACCACTCTAAAATCAGAGTATTTTGTATATTCATCCTAGAATTCATGTCAGCCTGATAATGGTCATGATGTAGTTGTAATTCTCCTTGAGTGAACATTCAAAGAGCATAGAAACTTGCAATATATTGTGATTCAGAATAAAATCCAAAACTAGCAGAGCACTTTTTTAATTCTTGGGAACCAAATGTGTAGAATGGGGTGTAGAGCAATTGATCTAACTTAACAACACTGCTGAAGCAGGTCAAAAGTTGGCTGAACAGAACCAGAAAGCCAGTTTAAGCTTTTAAAAAAGCCAAATTCAATGGCCTTTAGTTTTTCTTTTAGAAAATGCTATTTCACCAACACTTTGATGTCACTGAAGACAAAATGGTATTAAAAAACAGACATCAGCAGGTGACTGGAAAAGCAAATCTGGACTCAGATTCTGAATGTGAAGAAGTTTTAGATATACTTGACACAAATAAGTTTACTTATAATTTTTCTCTTTTGTGTATGTAATAGAATGATTAATTATAAAAAATCTATTCATTGTAAAAGTTTGCTTTAAATAAACATTAAAGAAAAATTCTAGGAGAAAGAAAGCACTGGACTCTTCCTAAAGGTGGACAGCAATATTCATGTTTGACCGTCATCAGCCTTTCTTCTTAATACCACAGGAATAAATCTAAGATACACTGTGTGAACACTTTACCCCTAGGGGGAGCTCAAAACACACCTTCCTTTATTCCACCCCAGAGAAGTGCTGATGAGATAAATGCCAACAACACATACTAGTGAGCCCAAGTACTACTAGGTATTTGTTCTCTTTGTAAACAAATGCTAAAAAGATCAATGTTCTTGCCATCTATAAGGTCTTGGATATTTTTTATTCTCTTGTGTCATACAGAATGTGCAAAACTATGTACCTTCTATCTTGGGGAGGCTATTGAGAAAATAGAGAAAAATCAGGGTACAGCCAAGGGGAAAAGTGCATGGAACTGACAGCCTGAGTCTAGTTTAGGTAAGGGCCAAGCTCTACATGGGATTTTGAAACCAAAACCTGTAGCAATAAAAAATGAGTATATGTCCAGGATGTGCTTAGAAGTCTACATTGGTGGTGACAGTAGGCTGTGGTGTAGCAAATGTAGAATCGGAATCCTATTCATAAATTGCTTAGAAATACAGCTAAAAGTTCATTTTAAGAAACACTCTTTCTCCACTAGTGTAACAGGACCCTAAACATCGCCACCTTAGTTAAATATAAAAATTCCAAACAATAACAAATATACTATTTTTAAGGGGAGAATAAAGGCCTGCTTTTAATGTAGACAAAATGTGAAGTATTAAATTGTTTTACCTGAAATGATCCAAGAATATCCTTTAAGGGTTCTTCATAAAACTCATCTCTTCCGAAGAACAGCAGCAACTCAAAGAAACTCCTAGGAAGAATAAGTGAATGATAATTTTCATTGCTTCTTTGACTTTTTTGTCCCAATTTAAAAGAATCTCAAGAGATAACAGTTATGTATTATCAGATATCTAGTTTTAAAATAGTTGGTTTTGAAACACACCGATCATTGAGGATTCATGTTACATATTCAGTAAAAATTTAATAGAAGCATCTTCGAGGAAAATACAAAGAAATGCACTTAAGTTCTAAAACTACAGAATGCATAATTACATTACTCATGCCTATTGTGTTCACACTGCAAAAAAAAAAAGAAAAAAGAAAAAAAACAACAGGATACCAGGTGTCCAAAATTTGGCTACACGTGTGAAGATGATCTAAAATGAGTACATACTCCTAGTATAATGGACCCTAGAAAAAATTCAAAATCTAATTTTTTTCAGAGGGATATAAGGAATGGATAAATTGACACAAAAATATATTAAAGAGGAACCATGAAATTCTCCACCAACATTTATATTATAGCAATATCACTAATTATGTATCTGATTAATGACACATGGATCCCCAAACTCTAGGCTTACCTTAATTATCATTATCCCACTTATGACAGACTGCCCCAAATCTCATTTTTAAATGTGTTATTTGCAAAATATAACCAAAGACACTGAAATTGAGAACAGGTTCACAGTGATGACCAGAGGGGAAGGGATTACAGAGGGAAAGGGTGAAGGGTTCACAGGAACAATTATAAAGCACACAAGGACAACAACAAGGTGGGGGATGGAAACAGTGGAGGGACATGGGGAGGGATGGGATGGTGCAGAGGGGTGAGGAGAAAAGGCAGAAAATTGTACTTGAACAATAATAAAAAAGTTAAAAAATAGATGAGTTATTTGGAAAATATGTTACTAAGTATTTTATGTGCCTTTAATAATTCATTAATTAGTTTGTATAGGAAGAAACATGACTTATTTCCTAATCAAAAGCATGGAAAAGTATAGTATATTATATATTATTTTGCAATCCTAAATGGCAGATCCTTCAAACTCTTGAAATGTAGAAGATACTCAACTAGAAATAGCTAAAGCTGTATTTTTCTGAACACCTTTTACCTTTAATTAAAATCATTAATAAAGACTGAAATTTTTCATGCAAACATAAGTATGAAACTGTATCATTTAAAAAATTGGGTAAAAGACCTAAGCATTACACAATAATTGCAAAGACCCTTCTAAACATAGCATAGCAACTATACTCCTGGAACTGATATTTTTATAAATTTAACTAAATGTCAACAGACACAAACCATAAATGCAGTCAAAAGCAAAATGATTCGCTGGGAAAGAATCTTTGATTTCCTTAATTAAAGAGCTTATACAAGTAATTCTTTATAGTGTCAAAAACCCAGGAGAACACTGGGAGAAAAGACCACTTCACAGAAAAGAAATGCAGGGGAATTTTCATTTCAAATATGAAAAGATGTTCTACTTTAATCAATTAAATAAGTAAAACTTTATGAAGATGAAATACCATTTTTCCTTCATATTTATAAAAATAAAAATGTTGATAGATTCTATGATGGCTCTGATGTGGAGAAATAGACTGATGTACATAATATTATCCATGGCTGCTTTAGTGCTACAAGAACAGTAGTATGGTTACAGCAGACACTCTACAGTCCTCAAGTCTAAATATCTGGCCCTTGAAAAAAATGTTTGCCCACCTCAGCTTTAGACAGTTGTTTCAGTGACTAAAAGTTAGGACTATTCCATTTTATATGTATGGTTCAGGTTTTACCATTTCCAGTTCTCTTCATTTCTCTGGGTAGATTTTCTGTCTAGCATCATGTTTGTGGCACTTTTTTTTTTTTGCAGTTCAGGTCTTCTGGAAATAAATTCTTTCAGTTTTCTCCTCCCTGAAAACATGCTTGTTTCTCCCTCTCAAATTGAGACTTAATTGTTTCAGGACTTCAAAGATGTCAATTTGTAATGTTTTGTCCTTCATAGTTCCTGAGGTGTCTTCTGTATTTATCATTAGTCTTCTAAATTAGGTAATATCTTTTTACTCTTGCAGCCTTCAAGATTTTCTCAGTGATTTTCAGAGTTTGAATGTTAAGCATGCAGGTTATCTACATGTGTGTGTGTGGTGTGTGTGTGTGACAAATTATCCTGCTTGTTGTTCTATAAATTTCTTGATCTGTGGTTAAAGGGTCCTCTTAGACATAATTATTATATCTCTTCTAGGGTCTCCTTTCACACAAATCAGTGTGCTTCTCCCTCATCAACCATCTCTAGTCTCTAGACTCTACCAATACATCTTCTCTCCTTTATCCTTCCATTTCTAGGGCTAAAAGCAACTTACTAGAGTGCTAAGTCTGGTTCACCATCCTCTTCTTATCTGTTCTTTCAATTTTCTAACAACTCTGAAAGAGGTTCTATGAATTAAATTTCCTCCACTGAATTATCTAGCATGACTTACATTTCCCTAACTAGATCTTGATTGAAATAATCTATATATCTTAATCAAAAGGGAAATGGAAAAGGAAACAAAAATAAATTTATCAATGACCATTTCCTATAACACCAATAGAAAATTATTTTTGGTCTCCCGATGTTCCAAAATTAGAACAGAAAATTTTTTCAGAACATCATAGCTTAAGAAAATTATAACCAATAGGCTACAGCTAACATAAGTCCCATATTTATTATTATTAAATATTAAAAAATATGTCAATTTGTCTTGGTGCCTTGATACTATGGGATTTTTTTTCTATTGAGCTATCATTGACATGTAACATTATATTAGAATAAGGTATACAACATAATGATTTAATATTTCCATATACTGGAAAAATTATCTTCACAACAAATCTAGTTAATACCCATCACCACACAGTCGCAACTATTTCTTCTTATGATATGAATTGTCAATATCTACTCCCTTAACAACTTTCAAATGTACAATACAATGTTTTTAGCTATAGTCACCATGCTGTACATTAAATTCCAATGACTTATTTATTTTATAACTGGAAAGTTGTACCTTTTGACAACCTTCACCTATCTGGCCCACCTCCCAACCCTCACTACAGCAACTACCAACCTGTTCTGAATATCTGAGTTTTATTTTGTTTAGATTTCATATATATTATTTTTCTCTCTGAATTATTTCACTTAGCCTAATGCCCTCAAAGTCCATCTGTATTGTCACAAATATTAGGATTTCCTTCTTTTTTATGAGTGATAATATCCCATTATATATATGTGTGTGCCTCCATTTTCTTTATCCATTCATCCATCACTGGACATATGGAAGGCTTTCCATGTCTTACCTATTGTAAGTAATGCTTCACTGAACACAGAGGTGCAAGTATCTTTTCGAGTGTTTTCATTTCCTTTGGATAAATACCCAGGTATGGAACTGCTGGATGACATGTGGTAATTCTTTTTTTAATTCTTTATGGAACATCCATACTGGTTTTTATAGTAGAAACACTATTTTACACAACTACCACCAGTGCACAGGGGTACCCTTGTCTTTACATCCTTGCCAATTTTTGTTATCTTTTTTGGCGGGGGGAAACATTCTAACAGGTGTGAGGTAATACCTCACTGTTGTTCTGATTTTGACTAATGATTTCCTTTGTAGTACAAGTTTTTTTATTTTTTAAAAATGGAATTTTTTAAAAGATTTTATTTATTTATTGTTAGAGAGAGGGGAAGGGAAGGAGAGAGGGAGAGAAATATCAATGTATGGTTGCCTCTCATGCATTCCCCGCTGGGAACTGGCCTGCAACCCAGGCATGTGCCCTGACTGGGAATTGAACCGCGATCCCAGTTCCTGGTTCACAGGCCCGCGCTCAATCCACTATGCTATACCAGCCAGAGCCTTATAGTACAAGTTTTTTTTAGTTTGATACAGTCCAACTAGTGTTTTTGCTTTTGTTGCCTTTGCCTTTGGTGTCAAGTAAAAAAAAAAAGAAAGAAATCGTCCCCAAGACTGATGTCTAAGGAGCCTTTGGTCTCTGTTTTCTTCTAGATTTATGGTTTCAGGTTTTATGTTCAAGTCTTTAATCCATCTTGAGTTGATTTCTGTGTATGGTACAACAGTGGTTCAGTTTCATGCTTTTAAATGTGGCTGTCCAGTTTTTCCAACTCCATCCCCCACTGCATATTCTTGGCTCCTTTGTTGTATTCTAATTGACCATATATTCATGGGTTTATTTCTGGGCTCTCTATTCTGTTCTGTTGATCTACATATCTGTCTGATCTATGGGCCAATATCATACACTTTTGGTTAGCTTTGTAATACAGTTTGAAATCAGGAAAAGTGATGCCTCCAGCTTTGTTCGAGATTTCTCAATACTACCTGGCTATTCAGGATCTTTTGTGGTTCCACACATATTTTAGAAACTATTTGTTATGATTCTGTGAAAAATGCTATTGGATTTTTGATAGAGAGTGCAATGAATCTGTAGTTTGCTTTGGGTAGCATGGACATTCTAACAGTAGTAATTCTTCAAATTTATGAACATTTTTTTCTCTTCAATTATTTGTGTCTTCAATTTTTTTTATCAGTGTCTTATAGTTTTCAGTGTTTAGGTCTTCCATACCCTTGGTGAAATTTATTCCTAGGTATTTTATTTTTGATGAAATTATGAATATGATTGCTTTCTTAATTCTTTTGAGTCATTAGTGTAGAGAAATGCAAATAATTTTTATACACTGATTTTATATTCTGAAACTTGACTGAGTTTATTAGTTCTAAGGGTATTCTGGTGGATTCTTTAGAGTTTCTATATATAATGTCATATGCAAATAGAGATGATTTTACTTCTTCTATCAGAGAATACAGTAACATGTTTAACATATTTCATACCTGAATGTCATATATATTTATATACAGAGTATTACAGATACCAAGTTAACCCTTTTGCTTACCTATAAATTTTTAGTATGTCAAGTGATTAAAAAATTAAAAACATATGATATATATCATAAACAATTCTACAAACATATGAATTATAAT